CCATGTTGGCTCCCACATGCTCCACGATGATCTCATCGGATGAACCACGATGTCGAGGATTTAATCAATCCCGTATGCTATTCCCTTTGTCTATCGATATGTTACTTGCCCGAGATTCGATCGTCGGTATCCCAATACCTCGTTCAATCTCGTTACCGGCAAGTCACTTTACTCGTACCGTAATGCATGATCCCGTGACCAGACACTTGGTCACTCTGAGCTCATTATGATGATGCATTACCGAGTGGGCCCAGTGATACCTCTCCGTCATACGGAGTGACAAATCCCAGTCTTGATCCATGTCACCCAACAGACACTTTCGGAGATGCCCGTAGTCTACCTTTATAGTCACCCAGTTACGTTGTGACGTTTGGCATACCCAAAGCACTCCTACGGTATCCGGGAGTTACACGATCTCATGGTCTAAGGAAAAGATACTTTGACATTGGAAAACTCTAGCAAACGAACTATATGATCTTGTGCTATGTTTAGGATTGGGTCTTGTCCATCACATCATTCTCCCAATGATGTGATCTCGTTATCAATGACATCCAGTGTCCATAGTCAGGAAACCATGACTATCTGTTGATCAACGAGCTAGTCAACTAGAGGCTCACTAGGGACATGTTGGTGTCTGTTATTCACACATGTATTACGATTTCCGGATAACACAATTATAGCATGAATAAAGACAATTATCATGAACAAGGAAATATAATAATAATGCTTTTATTATTGCCTCTAGGGCATATTTCCAACAGCAACAGCGCGAGGCGAGGGTGCGTGCGCGCAGGTCACGGGGCCGGGCACGCACGCTGGGCGCGGCCAGCGCGAGGTGACCGCGGTCGGCGATGAGACCGGACGGGAGAGGCGATGGGGGGAGAGACGCGGCGAGAGGCGCAGAGGAGAAAGGGAGAGGGCGGTTGCTCACTGGGGAGCCGTAGGGTTCGGGGGCAGTGGTGCGTGCGGCGGATGTCGAGGACGACGACGACGCAGGGGAGGAGGCGACGAGGTCCAAGTGTTGGTGGTGCTCCGGCGACGGCGGGGTCCAGCGGCGTCGAGTGTGGCGAGAACGGCGAGGACGAGCTGGCGCAGGAGGAAGCGAGCAGCGACGCGGGCGCGGCGTCGGGCGCCGCTCGATCCCGATCCAGATCGAGACGAGGGGGATCCGGCGGAGGGGGCTCGGCGCGGCAACACAGCTACGGGGCCACGGGGCGCTGGCGAGGGGCGCAGGTTGCCTACCCCCGATCCAAATCGGGGGAGCCAGAGAGAGGAGTGGGGCTCGTGGGGGAGGGGGAGTGGTGGTTGCTGCGGGTGGTAGCTAGGGTTACGGGGGATAAGGGGAAACCGGGGGTGGGCCGATCGGCCGACTGGGCCAGGTGGGTCGGCCTGGCGGCCTGCTGGGCCGTGGCCCAGTGAGGGGGCTTTTCTCATTTTCTTTTCTTTAGTGTTTTCTTTTAGTTACTTTTTATTTTTGTTTTAGAAGAATACCAAAATGGCACCTAATTTGATGTTACTAACTGCCATAGTAACTTGTTACACAAAATAAAATAGTTTGTAATTATTTGATATTTAAAAGCATTAAAGTAATAGTTTTCCCTGCTGTTTTATTCGCTCAATAGTATTTAAATATTTTATAAAGGTGTGGTTTCTCCACCACAATTACCTATGCATTATTTGGTTCACCTTGAACATTTAGATTTAATGTTTCAAACTTTTGGTGTTTAACTTGATTTCGAATTTGAATTTGAATCACTTTCGAACTAATACGAGATTAGTAACAGTAATCGAAGTGATGTGGCATTATTAGTAAAGGGTTACTGTAGCTTGATTATCCGGGCGTCACAACCGCTTATGGGTGGCTTGGCAATTGTACTCTCTAATATGTGTTGCAAACCATCTCAAAGCATTTGGATCAATACCTAGTGGGTGGATCTTTATTTTCTACTCTACCAGGGTTCCATGTTGTCAAACATAATACAACCCAAAGTCGGGATCCTTGTAATCCCTATGGTGGAGGCTACCAAGAGATCCTCCACACACTTTTTTGAATAAGATTGGAAAAAAATTACTCCATGCGTTCACTTTCGTAAGGCATTTTAGATATTTTAAGACAACTCCTAAAACAGATCGATTTCAGATGTCTGAAACGATTTACGAAAGTGAACAGAGGGAGTAACTAGAATTATATTCAAAATAAAATATAGGGGCTCATTTCGGGCAGGCAAGAGCTTCGATCCAAAAGCATTGGTTGTGGGTTCCGCTCTAAAAAAGAAAATCAAGGACATAAAAATGTCTTCGTTCATTAGGAGAAATCAATGTACTTTCAGTGTGGAATTGAGATTTAACGCAGGAATAAATCATGTATCGGTGGGGTGTAGAGTACCTTAGTCATCACGCGGGCCTCCAACAATCAATACAACTCGCATCGTCATCGTCGAATTCAACTAATGAGGGCAAAGTCCTAAATTTTCACTCGCGTAACATATATTAGTGCCCCACAACAACGTCTTTGGGAAGGGAACGCAATGTAACATCATTGTTGTCGAGACCAGATAGCCCGACCTATGTTTTCACCATCAATAGACAATATAGAGATTGCCGACTGAACCCTCAATGGTATCGTCAAATGGAGTCAAGGACTGGACCACCACATTGTGTCTTGATTCACCACCGTCCGAGCTGATTAATATCACCACCACCCCTCTGTTCCAGCTAAATAGATCACGCTAGCTGCCATAATGTCTACTGCAGAAACACTGATTGATGCTAGCGATAGAAGACTCCTGAGTAACTACAAAAATAGCTTGTTGAATGGACCATAGGAGAAGACATGTGGAAAGAAGGCTGCCTAATGCGACACATGCATACAACAACCTATGGCAGCCGCTACCCGCCTAAGTCACCAAAGGACCATGATCTCCACCAAACACTGAATAATCCTAATGGTTGTGGTCCAGATGCATCATGTTGTTTCAAATCGATCACGTAACACTCAACACAACCACATCTCCACCTCACATCAACCAAGAATGCTGAATAATGGTGAGAAGCTCCTCACATCAACGAAGAATGTCAAATAGCATAAAACAAGTGGAAAATGATGAGAATGACCAGATAATGGTCCTTACATACGTTGGAGACAGACGAGACTCGAGAGGCCGCTTATCACGTTGGCGAGAAGATCAGAGAAGGAAGTGACAATTGGTGGTTTGAGGACCCCCAAGACTATCTACAATACTTTGTTTTTACCTCAGCATTGATGTTTTATGGGTAGAGCACATGTGCTGAATTAGACATCTCTGCTATATTAAGCACCGGTTCTTAAAACTTAGTTTATTGTTATATGAGCATGTTCAACCAAGCTTGCATAATCTAACCCCGATATGACCGCGGACAGTGTCCGAGGGTGTCTACTTTGACCCCTTATTTGTCTGTGCATATAGACGTGTCCCAAAATCATTCGAGCACAAGCATATGATTGGTCGGATATAAAGAGAAAAAGAACAGGAGAGGAAAAAAGAAAGAGAAAAGGTGGACCAGATTCGAGCGCAAACTCCCAAAATAGGAGGACGGTTTAGGAGGTCGAGTTGGTAGCCTTTTTTACCCCTCTCATGTTCGGGCAATGCCCTGGCCATCCCTCGGGCATATGAGGAGGATTTGAGGTTCGCAGTTGAAGATGATCTACGCACATCTCTAATGATTCGATTTGTGTTGTAGATTGTCTAATCGCACACAACGCGTTGTAGGTGCCCTCTAAACACTTCGAATCGTGGATGACCGAACCACACACTGGGTCGCAAGGAATGTACCGCGGAGAGTTTTGTAGACCAAATTAGCACCAGTAGCAGCAAAGTCCAAAGGTTGACTCTGCATAATTTAACTGTCTGTCTGCTGTGACACCTCTGCATTCATGCAAGAAGAATTGACCGAAAATTGAACGAGAAATAGAGAACAATGACTTCTCAGCCAGAAAAGAAAATGAGAACAAAGACTAATACTGCCATGTCTCACTCTTTTGTTTCCTTGACTTGAGAAATGCATAATGGTGTGCCCAGGTGACCAGGTTGCCAGTCGCCACCCTCTCCTCCTTTCTTTTCTTTTTCTGATAAGAACATGCAATTACCTCATCATGGATAAAACAAGATTGCTAAATCTCAGTCGACTGAGACTTCATTAAGTCTCACTCGATGCCATATTCGTTAGATCTTGTGTGGAGATCCGTGTAAAATTTTCTTTAAAGTTTTTCTTTCTTTCCTTTTATATGTTCTATCACTTGGCTGAAACTTTGTTAAGTCTCATCTAGCCACACCCTGAATAAAATGGCAAAATTTCAGTCACGAAAACATTCCAGTACATCGCCCTGATAGCAAATGCAACAGATTCTTCACCAGATGAAGGGACAATCGGGACACAGTACAATGTGGGAGGCATCGGTGCAAAATCAGAGTTGGACATGGATCAAATCGCCTAGTAGTAATTAATAACGGCATCACTAGAACAATCGTTGAACGTAAAGCTCCCTGAAGGAAGTTGCTTCCACACGCGATGCCAACAACAAAAGCCGACACTCCGCCGTTGCTCAATTTAATCTCGGAGAAATGTAGTTAAAATTGTACTCCCTCCTTTCCAAAACAGATGACTCTATAAAGTTGGGTCGTCTATTTTGAAACGGAAGGAGTACGTACTAAACATATGCAAGCGAAGGATTTCCATGCACTTCAATTATCAAGCATACTCGGTACATGTTAAAAACTATACTACCCCCATGAAATTCTAGTGCCGCTAGTTTCGCATCAACTCTACATGAAATTCTTAAAACGAAACAACTGAGTAGTACCTGAACATAGAAAAAAGGAAAAGGATCTGGGCAAAGTAACCACAACCACCACCACTTGCTATATCCAAAAGCATGGGTTCGTCGCCGCAGGGTCGCGCGCCTCGGGAGCCGTGCACGCGGTACGCACCCGGACGCGAACCGCCGCCGCGCGCGTCCTCCATCACTCCTTAATCCGGAGCCAGCAGGCGAGCTGCGTCGGGTTGAAAACCCCGGGGATGCGGGTGCCGCCCGCCATGAGCAGCATCGACGCCTCGGCGTACCTCCTCGCGGGGTCAGGTGTTGGTGCGGGCGCGGGCGTGGCGGTCTCCTTCCGGCCCAGCGCGGGGGGCCGCTCCCCGAGGAGCGTGCCGAACTTGAGGAACTCGTGCGCCAGGTACCCGGCGAGCAGCTTGCTGCTCCCGCCCTGGGGAGGTGGCGTCGGCATGGTAGGCGGCTTGTTGGCGAACCGCGACAGTTGGTGCGGCTTGTTGCGCAGCAGCTCCTGTCTCCCGGGCGGCGGCGGCGGCGGCGGGGACAGCGGCTGCCGCTGCTCCGACGAAGACGAGTACTCCCGCTCCTTCCGCTTCCCGAGCGCGCCGCCGCGCGGCGCGTCCATCCTCGCGCAGATCGACATCCCGAGGGCCCCGACTGCAGCGGCCGGACGGGATCGCCGATAGCGGCAGGGGAAGGAGGAAAATATGCGGAGGAAAAAGGAAACTGGTTTAAAAAGCTACAGAGGAAGGGAGTTGTGCGGGTGCGGCCGGGCCCACTGGAGAGCAAGTCCGTACTATCACAGGGGGGAGAAAGAGAGAAGGCGCCGAACGGAACGGGGATTTTGGTGGAAAGAGAGGGGAGGAGGGGAGGGAGGGCTCTCTGCAGAATGAGGCGGAGCGGAGGGAGGACGGGGTGGCCTGGGGCGGTGGTCTATTTATATTCAAGCTGTTTGGCAGTTGCCATCGGGTAGGCTATAAATAACAGGAATGCCATCGTGTGGGTTTGCCCCTTGCGTGGGGGGTAATTAATGGTTCTGGAAAGGCCGAGGGTATAGTTGTCATTGTATACGTCGTGTGGGCATGCAATTGGGTTAACATTATCGTCCAATTGGGCTATATGCAGTAATTAGCTCATTCAATTGCCTTAAAAAATTACCCTTAAAAATTGCGTCAAAGAAAGTTCTCCCATTACTTCCTAGGTGCGACGCAACGACAACGGTTCGATGACTTGCATGAATCTCGGTGATGGGATAGTGTGGCGTTGCTAGGCGCAATCGTCTGCTCCTTTGTTTTCCCATGCGACACACGCTTATGACCACTTGATCCCAATAATCGATGTTGACCCAGTATGATGATGTGCCTTCTTTATCAATTTTTCATACAATCACATGTGCGAAGTTTGCTTCCACGCCGTCTCCTCCCTTTTTCTCCATTCGCATACTAAGAGAGAACATGGGGAGGCGATAGATATGTGGGGCGGAGCACTGAATTGCACGGCCTACAACGAGGAGGTGTTGACCGCCAATGGGCTCATTGGGGAGTACTCGCTCTTCCCTCGTGATGGGAAAGGCCTAGGAGGTAGGCCCCACAATTATGTATGCCCCAGCTAAAGGCCCTTGCCCATGTAGATTAGCCCATGAAGCACCTAAGTGAGGGGCTTCTCGTTGATTGTCAAAATGTCTGTAGTCGGATGCCTTCAGTCGGGAAAATGCCTCCATTTGGTCACTCGTATGACTGGCGGGGCCACGACCCTGGGGTGGCTCACCAGGCCGGATTAAGCCAAAAGAATAAAATCACTCTTTAGAACTCATTGATGCATGATACAGACAAGCAATACTTTGATGTAAGACAACCGTATGAGAATGGAATATGTAAGAAAAACAGGACGACATGACATATTCACAGCTACGATGTGCAAACTAAGCAGAAGGATTTTCAAGAAAATAGAAGTAATGCAAGCTAGACACCATATGAAAAATGCAACCAATATTACTCTGCCAAGTTAAAAGTATCTTGTCATAAGTGGCAATTCAAAAAATTAGAAGCAGTACAATGTAGAAATCAATGCAAGATGCAACCACTATCAAACTGCCATGTTAAAAGCGTCCAATCATGAGTGACTGATGCGGGATACACAACAGCAGTACTTTGATGTAAGAACATGGTATGATAGATAGATGCAGTGTATTCTAGACATAGAAAGCCATGTCATATGCACATGTATAACGTATAAACTCAGCAGGTGCAATTTAATCAAAATAGAAGAAATACAGGCTAGACAACATATGCAACATGAAACCAATTATCACACTGTCAACTTAGAGCAAGCACCTGCGATGGTGGAGTACGGGAGATGAACTCATCATGTAGACTTGGGACTTCAACTTCATTAGAAGTAGCAGTGGCAAATCTAGAGAGTCTCTGTTTGCGTCGGTGCGGAGGACCACCAACATCCCCTAACTTACTCTTTTCCTTCCTATTTTCTGATATTGCCTTATGAAGTCAAAACCACAAGAAGATGAATAAAATTAGCTCTGCATAACTGGTTGATGCATAATACAGACGAACACTACTTTGATGTAAGGCAAGCGCAGGATAGGAGGATGGAATATATACAAAAAAAGACATCGTTTCATATTCACACGTACGATAGGAGGATGGAATATGTATGGAAAAACAGTAAGCGGAAGGCATTTCAACAAAATTAGAAGAAATGAAAGCTAGGCACCATATGAACATGCAACAAATATCACTCTATCAGGTAAAAAGTGTCTCGTCATAAGTGCCATTTCAAGAAATTAAAAGCAGTACAAGTTAGAAGACAATGCAAGATGCAACCTACATCACAGTCCCAAGTTAAATGTGTCTTATGGGTAAATGATCGTTGCAGGTATAAGTTGTAAGCTACGCAGATGCAATTCAACATAATCAGAAGCAATACAAACTAGACATCATATGGAAAACGCAACCACGTATAACAGTTCCAAGTAAGAGCAAGCACCTGTGATGGTGGAGTAGGGGAGATGTGCTCATCATGTACACGTATGTTCTAGAAACAGGAACACGTGTCATATTCACAGGCATTATGTGTAAAGTAAGCCGATGCAATTCAAGTTAGAAGCAATACAAGCTAGACATCATACGCAACATGTAACCACATATAATAGTGTCAAGTTAGAGCAAGCACCTGTGATGGTGGAGTAGGGGAGATGTGCTCATCATCTACACAACTACGTTGACTGTCCAGCCTTGTGTTGTCTTGCGAATCTTGTTGGGAGGATGGCGGAGCAGAATCTGTAGAGACCCCCTGTTTGAGTTGCTCCGAAGGACCACCATCATCCACCGCCAGACTAATTTTCTTCAGTTGTAATGATTTTGCATTGTGAAGTCAAACCGATAAGAAAAAGGAATAAAATTCGCTCTTCAGAACTCATTCATGCATGATACTGACGAACACTACTCGGATGAAATGCAAACACATGATGCGAGGATGGAATATGTATGAAAAACAGGATGGTGTGACATATTCACACCTATGATGTGGTAACTAAGCAAAAGGCATTTCAACAAATTAGAAGCACTGCAAGCTAGACACCATATGAAAGATGCAACCAATATCACTCTGCCAAGTTCAAACTATATGGCGTTTCAACAAATTAGAAGCAGTACATGCTAGAAATCATATGCAAGACACAACAAATATTACAATGGCGACTTAAAGGTGCCTTATCATAAGTGACTGATGCGGGATATGCAAGAATAGTAGTCTGATGTAGAAACAAGAACACATGTCATATTCACAGGCATTATGTTAAAGTAAGCAGATGCAATTCAACAAAGTTAGAAGCAATACAAGCTAGACATCATACGCAACATGCAACCACATATAATAGTGCCAAGTTAGAGCAAGCACCTATGATGATGGGGTAGGGGAGATGTGCTCATCATCTACACAGCTACGTTGACTGTCTAGCCTTGCGTTGTCTTGCGAATCTTGTTGGGAGGATGGCGGAGTAGAATCTGTAGAGAACCTCCGTTTCAGTTGCTCGGAAGGAGCACCATCATCTAATGCCTTGCCAATTTCCTTCAGCTTTATTGATTTTGCATTGTGAGGTCATACCGACAAGAAAACGGATTATCATTCGCTCTTCAGAACTCATTCATGCATGATACTGATGAACACTACTCTGATGAAAGGCAAAGTCATGATACGAGGATGGAATATGTACGAAAAAATGGACGGCTTGACATATTCACACCTATGATGCGGTAACTAAGCATAAGGCACTTCAACAAATTAGAAATACTGCAAGACACCATATGGAAGGTGCAATCAATATCACTCTGCCAAGTTAAAACTGTCTCGTCATAGGTGGCGTTCATCAAACTAGAAGCAATACATGCTAGAAAGCATATTCAAGACGCAAACCAATATCACACTGCCAATTTAAAGGTGTCCCATCATAAGTGACTGATGCAGGATACACAAGAAGAGTAGTTTCATGTAAGAACATGGTGTGATAGACAGATATAGTATGTACCAAAAACAGGAAAGCGTGTCATATTCACATGTATCATGTGTAAGCTAAGCAGATGCAGTTTACACTAATTAGGAGCAATACGAGCTAGACACCATATGCAACATGCAACCAGATATCACACTGCCAAGTTAGAGCAAGCACCTTGGATGGTGGAGTAGGGGAGCGGAGACTTGGACCTTGTAATGCACTATCAGTACAAGGAGAATCGGTACAGATGCTCCGTTTACGTTGCTGCAGAGGACCACCATCATCGCCTTCCTTACTCTTTTCCTTCCTATTTCTTCATTTTGCCTTGTCAAGTCAAACCCACAAGAAAAAGGAATAAAATTTACTCTTCAGAACTCATTGATGCATGATACTGACGAACACTACTTTCATGTAAGGCAGCCGCATGATAGGAGGATGGAATATGTATGAAAAACAGGATGGCGTGACATATTGACATGTACGATGTATAAAGTGTAAACTAAGCACAAGGTGCTTGAACTTGTTAGAGTCGATGCAAGCTAGAAACCATATGAAAGATGAAACCAATATCACTCTGCCAAATTAAAAGGGTGCCCTAACAAATGTATTTGACCAAATTAGAAGCAATACATGGCAACAGGCTAGAAATAATATGCAATATGCAATGAATAAAGGTGACTCATCGTAAGTGATTGATGCAGGATACAGAAGAGAGGTAGTTTCATGTAAGGACAAGGTTAACACATAAATGTAGTGTGTACCAAAAATAGGAAGGCATGTCATATTCACATGTATAGTGTGTAAACTAAGCAGATGCAATTTACCCTAATTAGAAGCATTACAAGCTAGACACCGCATGCAACATGCAACCACATATCACACTGCGAAGTTAGAGCAAGCACCTGTGATGGTGGTAAAGGGGAAGTGCGGTCTTCAGGTACAGAGCTACGTTCAATTTCTTCATTTAGGCTTGCTGTTTCTTGAGAATCACGTGGAGAGGATGAAAATGCATTCTTTATAAGAGTATTGCGTCTCATATTAACCCACGCGCGTGACTGTCTCATCATAAGCGATAGACGCAGGATACACAAGAACAGTAGTTTGATGTAAGAACATGGTGTGATAGGCAGATG